AGGGTAATTGCAACGGTGTGTCGATTTGAATACATTCACAATACCGTGTTGTCCTCTCTGACTTAGGTGGCGTAGGTGGCATGAGTGTTTGACCTCGTCCGCTCTATAAAATGACATACGTTTTCGATGTGATCCATTTCTTGAAAAAAAACCGGCAAACTGCTTTCTGATTACAATCTAACCATCCGATACTATGCTTAATTTGGCCTGCCTTCTCTATCGCTCATTTGCCGTCAGGTCTTCCCCAAGTGTTACCATTAAGGTTGGCGTTCGGCTCGGCGGCACAATTAGGTTACGAGTTAGGGTTAGAAGTCAGTTGCGGCAAGGGGCTAGTAAGAGCTAAAAGTTGGAATCAGAACTTGCGATTAAAGGCCGGGGGTTTTGATTAGCGGCTAGGGTCAGGCTTAGGAGTTTATTGTTAGGCTTTGGACATAGGTTTAAGGTTAGGGGTTAGGCTCTCGACGTCGTCAACTTCAATTATATCTTCAGTGACTGCCATCACGACGGTTGGATCTAATGATATATTCTTTACACTTTTTCCTTCGATGTGACTGGTCGTCACGAACTGGGGTCAGTTCAACAGCAATATCTAGCCAATTTCTCGGTTTTCATTTTTTTCCACCCACTTATAGCTCAAAATTTCCAGTATTTAAAATTTCGGGCCCGTGTTTTCACGCCGTATTGGCGTACATGAACAAGCTAACGGCCTAAATGTTACTTTTTTACTTTCGTTTCCTGGAAACAGATATCTTTCAGTCACATATACCCCATCCACCAAACTCCTATAGGCACCATTTCTGCATTAGGTGAGTTCTTGTCTCCCGTTTTGTCAGTGGAACCCCATACCCCATCGTCATCGCCTAGTTGTTGTTTAGAAGGAACTGACGACTGCCGTCTCTATGAAGGACGGGCAACGTTGACCAGGGCGACCTCAGATTCACATTCGAAGGATGATATCACTTCAACGGTCGGCAGATTCAGCTGCCGAAGGGCGTGTTGTACACGCTCCTGAAAACGGACGAATGCCGCAAACCATTTCCTAAAAAAGACACTCTTTTCTGATAAAAGGTTACCCCATGCTTTCCCATCACGCGAGCTAACGACTAATTTCTGAATGAAGGTTGAATGTTCGAACTTATTTGTCTTGATCTCTTTATACCGACAGGCCTGGATGGCGAAAGTCAGATTTGTAATGAAATCACCCATGTTTTGACTGGATTTCCCGGCACACCTGACAAAAACGATAGCAACTCTGGAAGACCCCTTTTCCATCCCATGCTGACCGACTTTAGCTTGGCGAATGCCGCTCGGAGATCAGTCTCCCCGCGTCGATGTGCCGCCATCCGACTTCTCGCAGATTGGTCTGGTGAAGTTTAACTTTGAAGGCCACGTGGGCAGCATAGTCGGAATCAATTCAACCAATAATCATAGGAGGGTTTGGGAGTGTTTCTAGCTAGAACGATAGCGGTGTAGGTAACAATGAAGTCATGTTCGGTAAGCTGCGTCAACAACGCGCAGGGGGGCACGCACGAAAGGCTAAACAAGCGGGAGCCTAGCGGAGTGCATGGCATAGGGAAACGTCATAGGTCGGGGAGTGGCCAATCAGAACCTTCGATTTCTTATCACGCGTTCGTGACCTTGAACGTTCGTATGTCGCGCGCGTGTCGCGTGATCTCCAGGGCTCAGCACGGGCAGCGTACAGTACAACTTAAACAGCATAACTTGATCTCAGTCGAGTTCGATAGCCTGCTGCTTTAAGACAGATACAGACGGCCCGGACTGTCTACGACACTACAAGGCCTCCTCGATCAGTTGCTTGATAGTAAGGAATTGCCAACCAGTGGGGCCCAGCTCTAAGCGCTTACGTAGATCGACTTCGCAGTTTCGTGCGTTAACTGCAAACAGCGCCTTTTATGACGTCATTGGCCGGACATTTCAGCTCCCGCAGTCCGCACTCTTACGAGCGCATGATGCTTCGCCTTGATAGAGTCTCCGCGGACCGTAAAAAGGCCCAATCATCGACCCTGACAAACCTGTTTATGCAGAAGGCGTTAACCTCCCTACCACCTTGTGAGCTGATTAAGTGGCACGGGCAACGGTATAGAGAAGGACCCCACTTAACTCTCAGTAGACTGTGAGTCGTGTCATATTGGGTTTCATCTTGGCATACATTAGCATGCTGTTGCAGAAACTATACTGTCAACTACGATTAGTTCCCACGTCCTTGTTGCTTAACTCAAAATCCGTTATTTTGTGCAATTTACTTCTTGTTTATTGTTTAATTACTACACTCATTTCCGTTGTCGTACAATAGCGCAGGACAAGATTTTTGGCATAAATTCAGGCAATTTCTGTGTTTCCTTTCATTATGTCAGCTTATTGTTCAACGTGCTGCCCCACCCATAATACTCCCTTTACCATGAATCACGTACGGCAAGATCCACAGTCTACTGACAGTTAAGTAGGGTCCTTCTCTATGTCGTTGCCAGTGGCACCTATATTCAGCGCGTTGGCAATCCTAACGCGGACTACTGACATCCAAAACTCAACCCGACGCACACGAGCTGCTCAGAATGTCTGCTGGCCCGACCAATGTGTTGCTACGACGGTTATCGTTTCGCTCGGCGTCTGGCGGCTGGTAGTCATTAATTCAACAGAGCAGGTTATTTTGGATTCCGATTTCGCCCAAAATTAGCACGACGATGGGATAAAATCTTTAACGAACACAGTTAGTCGAATCTAGAAAGGACTCACTACCTTAGAGTCAGTGACCAGAACGCATGAATTGCTAACCAGAATTCTGAAACGCGCTTTCTACTAGGAAGGATCACTTAAAGGGAGCTGTAATATTGATTACCGTGCGGCATAATCCTATGATTTTTTCAGAAATCTCGGAATTCTGACTTTTGGTTGCACCCCTTTTCGGTCGTCCGCGAAAATCGCGCTCGTTAAAAATGACTATTTGAGCGACATGCAGTTTTTATATTGATTTTTGATGTCGTTATGAATTCAAACATAATTTATAGAAAACATGAATGAAAGTATTATTTCTTGTACTCATTTGGTAGCACATCACCTCTTCTTCAAATGTCATACTCAAACAGAGGGCATCTTTCGGTTTTAAAAAATTTCCTAACCGGGACTTTTTAAGACCGTGCAATGTCCCTTCAAATAGCATCGTATCGGTCTATTTACTAATGTTCTTCATGAAGTATACAACATAGTCCACAACTACTAGGAAATTTTATGAACTCTATATGGTACCTTCCTAATGGCTTAAAGGAATGCACGATTTCCTCCATCCTAAAATTATACGGCATGTAGAATGAGATTTCTAAACGCAAATGAAGTTGCAGGGTGGGTAAAAATTAGTTGATGACTGCAGTACTTTTCAATGCCGAAAAATACCCTGCCCTGGAGTATAAAATTTTGCTGGACGTGATTTGCTATCGAATGCATAGGAAAAATGATATTTTCATGCATACGTTACATAAAACATATTTGGGTTTATAATGGCATCGGAAGTCAACAGAAAAAGAGTATACTACTTCAGTAGCCACTCTCTGATGGGTGCAATTTTTGCAGGTGGCCAAAAAGGACAGCACCAAAAGCCAACATTCCGGCATGACTGAATTATCTTGGGATTATACTGCATGATAATCTATTTGCGAATTCAATTAATCAGAAGACGAGGTCGTTTTCGATAAATTTTCGTCCGGCCAGTACAATTATATGGGAACGGGGTAACGTAAAGTAAGTAATCCTTCCTAGTCGAAAACGCATTTCAGAATTTTGGTTAACATCTGATGGGGATTTATCACTACCTGTGAGCGTTTCGAACTTAAATTTAAGGAAGAGGCTGGTGCATAGTTAAGAACAAAAAAACGTGGCATGCATCCTGCAGCCATATTTCCTATATTCTGCCTGTTATTTCCATCTGCTTAATTTGTATATAATACGATTAACAATCATCTTCCGGAACTCTGTGTGCAGTTAACAGCTGCACCGAAAGCTTAGGCCGCCAAACATTGACAGTTGTAGAAAGGGATCAGCCGAAGATGCAAATTACATTAGGCGAACAGAAGCAACAGGCGACATCTGGGAACAAGACTTTCAGAGTGCGATGTGTCTTCGTCCCGAGCCGCATGCACTTTTTTTAACTGTGCGCCAGCTTTTTCTCCAAAGTGCAGGCTTGAAGCACCTGGGATAGTGAGTCCTTGGTGTATTCAAATCACCGAGTTTGGTAAAAATTTATTGGTCAGATGTGGTCATGTAGACCCACCTGAAGTAAACAAATCCCAGCTGACTGTAATACGAAACCGGTGACAATAGGGGGTTTTTACAGGTGGGGCTGGGGAACGCACAGGCGACGACGTCAAGTAACTGTGTGCAAAAGAAAAGCTATTGGGAATACACGGTTGTGCTTTAGGTGGTTGAGAAATAGTCGCCCTAACCCTAACCCTAACCCTAACCCCAACAGTATTGTGTCCATCATGTGGGGCTACATAACCGCTGCTTACCACTTTATTTCGTCGGGGCGCCAGTTACAGCCGGGAATCTGTAGCTCAAGCTACCTATGTGCTTTTGAACTAACGACTCCTCGGTGGGTTGAAGGCGTCCGCTTGGGCCGGTCCCTTCGACTGAGAGGCTATGCGAATTTAGATGCTACGAGTTAGACTCAGTCTCCTCCAACTGGGAGAATCGAAGCTCATAGGTGACAGAGTCATTCAACTGCCTTGTTGGACTGCATCGAGACGGGTTTTGACCTGAACTCCTCTTCAGTGCCACTAACTGGACTGTAGTACCGGATTTAGAGCAGGTGGCAAGTCTGTCAGCTACTTGTTGACGGGATTGGTTACAGTGGTCGACAAAGCTAAACAGCCCGTCTATGCGTGCGCACTTGATCTGGCTCCCACAACATGTATCAGGTCCTATAATGGCAACTCGGATCTCACAGCAGTGAGAATGCCATAACGGCCACATTAAAAAGGGCCAGCTCAGTCCTCCAGATCATAACAGCTTGACGCCGGTGGGATTTTACGAGAGTTCAGTCAAGGTTTTGGTGCGAATCGAAGGCGTACGTGCCGCGATTAGCCATTCCAATGATTCTGTCGGGGACGGAGGAGCAGGCAGGGTGAAAGTAAGCAAATCAAATGGAGGCGAAAGCAGTTAGTAGTATAACTCCGTCCGAGTTTCAATCTAACTGCGCACGCAGTGGGTAGGATGCACATAGACCGCGCCTGCACACACCGTCTCAACCCTGAAGAAATGAAAGTGGTCAAAAAAGCCTACTTTGCCGATACGAAGGCGATGCAGTTGAGGAGGGGAGGGGGTGCAATCGCTGAAACATCATCTGTCGCTGTCTCTGGTGATGAGTTCATGTGATAACCGTGCCCCCCAAACGGGTCACATAGTAGATGCGCTGGACCAACACGGGGACCATATCCGATTCCGGCAGGCGTTATCGGATTGCGCACCATAACAAATGCCAACATTTCGGGGTGCGGTTGCCGGCAGACGTCGCGCACATTGGGACCCCCTGCCGTCTCCCCATTTTTGTTGTTGCTCAAAAACCTGGTCATTTGCAGTGTGGACCGCGGAGTGTGGAGTGGAGTGCCAAGGTGCGGACTCCACCGTGCCACCCGCCTACGCCCTCCCCCGCCTCTGGTCTTCTTGACTCTCTCTTGGCGCTGGGTATAGGTGCGGGAGAAGATAGTGCGGTAGATTCTGTGCAAGTCTACTATCACTATAAACTAAATCCCGCACAAGTTACCATCCCCGCCTCACCGTGCCGTGGATCACACGGTGGACATCGTCGGAAGTGACGGTCGAACTGTCGTGTGATAACCCTTCCTCTCCACAAAGTCCGCATTATCCGTCATGGTGCTGAGGGAGGAACTCAACCACAGTGTACGTGCACAGTCGGACCAATGAAAATCAACCGCCAATGAGATCGCTTGATAGGAATTAGTTAATGACTCAGGGGCAAGTTAACAGTGTTCAAAGACACTTACGCGTCCTTCAGTTGTAATGGCCCACACTGCAAGGAAACCGGCTGCTTGGTGGGGCAGCTTCTCTCCACCCACGCTCACTTGGTGCATGGGCAGGACACCGGCCGAACGACCACCATCGCGCTGGGAGTCAAGCGAGACAGCTGCAGTCGCCGCCGCTGATGATTCGTCGAGGTCGGTGAGACAGACGGGACAGAGGAGCCAGCGGTCATGGCCGAGGAAGCGACGGACACGTTGCCAGCGGCGTCGACGAACCACTGCCTCGACCCGGTAGAAGGAAGTGAATACCGCATCGGGTGCAAACGAGGTGGCGTACTCCCAGCCCTGTGTAGGAGGATCAGGGAAATACTCACGTACTCGATCTCACAGCAAATGCTGTATAGAAGAACAAAACTGTTTGTGCGTATTACCTAGCTCGTAATGATGAGTGTTCGTCTTGGAGCCGCCTGCGAGGGCCTTATATTAAAGGGGTTATATTCTCTCCGGATCAGTGAACGCCAAACCCAAGTGACTTTAAATAGCCCCGATCACAGACAACAAAGCGTGAGCCCTCAGCCCGATGATTAACTGGACTCGGGTGAAAATCTCAGATTTCCCCAACCCAGTTTAAGGCATGGCTAGCTGTCAATTTCAAAGAAGCCAGAAATGATGATTCCCGTAGTCCTCATCTTTGGCTGTAATACTTATAACCATCTCAGATATTTAAACGAGGTGGTGGCATACTCAACCCTACAGAATAGACTGGATTTCGGGCTCCTAACATGAAACCCCCTCTACCCCATTCGAAGTCTGGGAGAGCACATTAGCAGACTGACGCTTTTGCGCGCAAAGTGTCCTAACCAACGGGGAGTGCAGAGCTGTCAAATGCGTCTCAACGCATCTCATTAGCACTGGCGTGATCAAATTACCACATAATGCGCTGGATAGCTAGGATTGAATACAGACGCCTAGTTTTACCACAACTTTAGTCCTAGCAGCCAGGCTATTTAAACTTTTTGACAGTAAACATTCTTTTCTACCGCCGGTGGGACAGGTTACAGTAAGTGACGTAAGTGGGGCAAATAAACGCTTAAGGCTTAGCCTCATCAGCCCCGGGTAATGCGCGTTGGTGAGGGAGGAATGCTTCCGAGAAAACAGAAGCACGCTAGGTTGTGACAAGAGGCATGCTAGAAAGATGGTGGGCAAACAGGGAACCGCCTAAAGTTCCAGAAGCTTACTCTTGAATGCTTGAGCTGGTAACAAAAACTCCTCATCAGAGGAAACGACCAGACGGAGTGTGGTTCACTCGAAAGGGTTTATGAAGGTCAATGGTGAGAAGTGGCCGACAAAACTAAACACTCCGTCCACACACGCCACGCACAATCTGGCCCTGCGCAACACGCTGAGTTTGCACGGACTAGGGGCTGCGAACTTAAGGATGAAGGGGTGGGGACGTTATGCTCTAAGAGGGCGGATCCACGGGAAAACTAGACGATATTATTGCCATAATCCTTGGGACGAGGCGTGTTTGTAGTCCCTCTTAATGGACGCCGAAGTCGGTATTACCATTAATACTGCCTTCGCTGAAGTTCTAGGCGTCAGGAAACTCTTGCGACGGTCTGCTGGGACTCGTGCGATAACTTCAGTTGTACTTCAATACAAGCAGTGACCGCTTTCAACTGATTAAATACAGACAAATGATATGATTGTCGTGTTCGTTGGCAGCCCTCCAGTCTACGTGCTGCTTTTGGCTGCAACGACTAACGCAAGTTTTTATGAACTCCACTCCATACCTATCAAATTCGTATAAACAGTGCCGATAGTCCAATTTGCTGTTAGGGATAAATTCTTTTCTTATGCTGACAAGGTGTTATCAGGGGTTTAACAATACACGAGTAGCCACTTGAATTTCCTAACTCCTTTCCTTTGACAAAGTGAACTTGGAAAGAGTACCATTGAGATACCAGTTTTGTTACCGCCATCCACAAGCGGGACATCATACAGTAAGGAGACGTGAAGTGACTTTTTGAGGACAGTAGCGTTCCTGCTACTAAGTTGCAAAATCTCGACAAAATATGGAAAAAATAAAACAAAATAGGCTTGTATCGAAAAGCTAGGTTCAGACTAGTTCCTAACTGCGAACTTTTGGCCGATCCCCAGGCGCTGTGCAAGGAATCATTTGGCTGTCCGATTCATAAAAGAGGGGTGGCCTGCCTGGGCTTGAATGCTCCGCCTTCATCTATAGCTACTAGGCATTTGTACCACAACTAATACATATATATATATATATATATATATATGTATATAAGATAGAAATTACTGTCTACAGGGTGTTTTCATTGGTTTCTGTGTTATCGAATATTTAGTTGGAAAGGAAATTACGAAGAGGAGGCGTTCGAAGACTCAGCGAACTCCAAAAACAAAACAGACAGACAACAAAAATTAAAGTTTTCAGGAGATTTGAACACGTAAGTAAAATAACGACTGCAGGCACTTAAAAGGGCTAGGCGCAAGACACAGTCAGCAAAATTTGGCGGAATTGCGAGGGCCGTAGATGCGTGCGTCACTCGATCGTCCATACATCGATCTGATAAACCAATAAAAATGTTTTGTAAGCGCGGCGCGCTGATCGATGTGACCCAGGACCCTGGTAGCGCGGATAGACGGGTATACAAACACGATATGTACCGACAAAAAGTACCTCGAAAGGGGCGAAGAACTCTGTTATTTTGCGCTGAGAATCGCCAAGGTAGAGCAGCCACGGCCTGGCTTTGACGTGCAGCACACGCCGCTCTCATGTCACTTGACCAGGAGTCCGCGCCACCAAAGAGAGTCTCGTAATGAAGACATGATCTATGTCAGCAATGTTGTCACTCCAACGAACTGCCTTCCTGCCTATGCTATGAGAAGATAGTCTTCGATCCGTGTACCATCAAATTTAAGAGCTAAGCGTCGTGGACGACGATGTTCACCGTGTTTCCACGGAGTGGGTGCAACAACAGTGACTTGCAAGTGAATTAATTTACAGAAAGGTTGGCTTGCGCATCATCTACCTCACTCCCTCTCCCTTCTCCTGCCAGGCTCTGATGGCAAGACAATGTCAAGACGAACAGAGGTGGACTCGGGCTTAGTGGCTGACAAAACTGAACGGTCCGTCTACGAGTGCGACACTACCTAGTCCCGCACAACACACCAGGTTTGCACGCAATAGGGGCAACCAGGATTCCGCGTTCGCCAGAGTGCCATGGAAGTCATGTAAAGAAGGAGCCACTCATAGTCTTCGAGCCCGTTACCCCGTCAGTTCGACCGTCGTGACCGACGACGGCCACTGCAGGATGGTAACAGAGACGGTGACCTGCGCACAAATTAGTAATGGTTGACTTTCGCTGCGTCTACCGCATCCTCTCCCCAAACGCCTGGATCCGGTGTCAAAACAGTCAAGAGGACGGGAGGCGAGAGAGGACGCCGGTCACTGGTGCGGAGGGACCCGAACCTAGGCCTACCATCACACCCCTTGGTCCCCAACGGACACTGGCCAGGATTTTATACAGTAAGAAAATGGAGCGGCGACAGCGATCTCAACTGGCGAGAATGGGAGCCTGCGACTGGGCTCACGCGCCCCACTGTTGGCATTTGTTGTGGATGCGCATTCCTGATAACGCCTGTCGGATTCCGATCTAGCTCCTGTGTTGGTCCAATGCATCTACCGCGTGGCCCGTTTTAGGAGCCGATCACCCCACATATACACACAGCACTGATCACGAAGACCGAGATATTCAGTCAGCTGACAGCCTTGCAAGCCACGGCTTCCAGCGCATCGTGATAGTTCCAAAGTGCATCAGATTTATTATAGTAAGGAATGCGTCGATGTGCTGTGGAGATGAGTTTCCAAGTGTCCACCTCACTCTTTTTTCCCTCTCTCCTGCAGCAGTCCACTGCCCGATCCGGTCAGTCATCTGGCATCCGATTTGGACGCAGTGGCTGACAATAGTGCAATGACACGTTTGCATGTGTCATATACGACCCGGTGAGAAACCAGGTTGCGCCGAAGAGCATGCTTTTCGTTGATGTGAGCGGCGTATGTTTTGTCTGTGTTTCGGGTGGGTTTCTGTGTGATTTATGGACGGGTGGGGCGAGATGTAGTGGTAAGGTGAGTTCCGTGGTGTTTTACTGCAGGTTTTTATAAATGCGCATATGACCGAACAGGCCCATGCGATGATGGAAGGTCCGGGGGCAGTGTGAACAGATGGAGCGGGTGCGAGGGGTGTAGATTGGTGCGCATGACACCGGTATGTTAGTCTTGGTGCGATGGATTCCCAGTTGCTCGACAGGTCGATGCGTGATGCTAGCGCGCGGCGGCACTAAGTACGGTTGTCTTCGACCAATCAAATAATCAAGGCGGTAGATGGGACGCAAAACGCAAAAGGGCCACAAAACGAGGTTCGTGGATATAAGCCACTGTTCACCCTTCCCTGATGGACAAGGCATCAACATTCTCTGAATTTCAGCGTTACAGTTGGTGGGAATTGCGTGAAGGAGTTGAAAGGGGTTGAATGTCAAGAACAAGATGGCGGTCTTCTCCTTAATATTGTACTTCGGGAAAGGTAGGGCTGCAGCTTATCCAGGTACCAAGTTGAAACGTCGTGGACGCCCAGGGGTCTGTTCTGCCACTACCGACTGACGACGTCTGTCCTACCAGGAAACGCAGCTACAATGCCTGAGTCTGCTCACTGTTACGGCATGAGACAAAAATCCATCCTCCTCGGAACCGCTTTAGAGTAGATTAGTGTTATGCAAAGAAATGGGCGCGTTGCGAGCCCCATAAAGACCACTGACCAAGTGCAACCATTGTTTGTTGTCGGTAATGGCATGTGGCACGGATGCCTGAAAGTCAGCTGTCATGTCAACTCCTGTCAACAGGATAATCTTTACAGTTTCACAACAAAGTCGCACTGCATTTAATCTAAGCAGCAACGCTACTGGGTCTAATGTCGTCCCTCGTCATAACAAGCGTGTGGTCGAAAGACCTGTCACGGCGGGACTGTATCAAAACACGTCCTCGGCTTTTTCTGCTTCCCTCATAACTGAGCATGTCTCCAACTGTTGCAGAGCCGAATAATTTGCGCTGATCGGTCGTACGCAGGACACCGAGACCCATGAAGAGGGTATGAAAACAAGCTCATTTCGGTGCGGAGAAGCTTTTATGGCATTCCCACCCATATGAGATCCCGGCCACCATTACTCTAACCCGGTGCATGAAGTGGAAACCGGTTCGTGCATGGCAGGCGTAGACGGGTCTAGTTTATTCAGTTATTGGGTCTGCGTCCACCTTCGGTCGCCTTGACATTGTTTTTCTATCGAAAGGAAGGTGGAAGAAGGACAGGAAAGTGCAGTAGGTACTGCACAAGCCTGCCTTTCTATAAACTAGTTCATACGTAGGTTAACGCTGTGTTAACTTCGTGGACCACGCGAAGGACGTCGTCGATTGTAACGGCCGACCATTGAAGCCATGTTAAGAAGGAACCACTCATAGTCTTCGAGCCAGTCATCCCGCCAGTTCGACCGTCGTGACCGACGATGCCCACCGTGCGCTCTACTGCAGGATGGTAACAGAGACCAATAAGGTAGCAACTCTCATGGCGAACAATTTACTAGTTCCGGAGACATTGTCGTCATTTCCCGAAGTTACTAGGAGGAATCATCGTCCTGTAATTAGGTCCAAGCTGCCTGGACAAAGACTTAGGAGATTCTTCAGTTGGTTCAGTCAGTGAAGAGCCACTGAGTGAATCCGAGAATTCCAACAGCTTCTCAGGGAGTTAAGACTTCAGTGATGACTACTTGTTAGTGTCTTATTCGATCCGGGTTGCACAGCGAGATTAAGTTCATGTGCTTAGAGTCTTTTCTGCGCTGGGTTTGTGACATCATGGCATGTGGCAAGCCGGGCGCAGATGAGAGTTAAATTTTCAGGCGAGTACGAACGACAACATGGTATGATGCTGCCAGTTTCGACATCATGTATCGATCTACTATCATGAACCTAGCTAAGAGACGTTTAACTAGCTGGAATGTAGTCAATCCGGCCGGCCATATGACCATTGTTTGAATACCAGGTCAACAGATGCCTGCGATGACATTGGAAGCAGACGATCGTGATGAATGGCCGGTCTTGGTCAACAAACGTCAACGCCCCTTTATCGTTTCCGCCTTGAAGCCTGTTAAAGTGCTGTCTGATCAAGCCGGGCCATTCCAGTATCAGGTAGTAATCAATAGGCCGTTGCAAAGAAGTCTTCGACCTGTTTCTGCAGCTGCGAGTAGGTTTCTTCATTGCGCAGGTAAGGTTGCTCCGTAGAGGGAAACAACAGAGATGTTAGTAAAGTGCCTTTTCAGTTGTATGTAAGGTGGCCAGTCATTTATCACCACACTGTCTCTACCAACGTTGTCACGTTGCAATACAGAGGTTAGAGTTGATCCCATGATTTTGATCCCACAAGAGCCTAAGTCAGGGATTCGAACCCCAGACAGGTAGAAGGTACCGATAATATGCTGGTGAGGATTGTGTCTCACCAGACTTTGAGTACCAGGGCTGAGAAAAGTTCGGACGTTCTAACATTTTACGCAAGACGTCCTCGACCGATTAATCCAACTCCCGCCCGCACGGTTATACTAGGGCTACGTGGCGCGTCGGTTGCCGTGGGCGTCTTTGTATGGCCTGTGACACTTGAATCGGGCATTTTCGCGGGCCTTCTTGGAAATCTTGAATATAGGTGCGTCCCCAAAGGTTGCTAGAGGTTATCTCTTCTATCGTCATAACTTAAAAGCCTAATAGAAAACTTCTTTGATGGCAGTTTATAGTCGCTGTCACAGTGCCGTCATCGGTGTTTTTTGGACATTTTATAAGGCAGCCCTAGTATTTCCGTCAACGCTGGTCATGGAATACCTATTCGATAGATAGGAGAGTTCGATTAATCTGTATTTAACCTCTGCTGAAGGCCGATTCACTGTCCGCGACCTGTGGACGCACCGGATAGCAATTAGCCAGACAGGCGGATAAGGCCTCAACGAGTGACGACAGAGTCAGTACGACATGCAATGTCCGGCGAAAGGGGAACTTGGCCATGCGCCCACGCTCCTCCACACCTATCGAATTTGACGACACCTCGGTTCCTGAGTATAACTATGAGGGCAACCAGATGACAAACATAGAGATCTTTGGTATGGTAACAAAACAGAAGAGCGAGGTGTCTAGTGAGAATATCCATGTTCTTTTGCGTAATCAGCTTACCAATAAAAAAAGGTAACTGCATGCGTTGGTCTCCTTGACTGCGGCTTTAACTCGGCGCAATTCTCAGTAGCATTGAGGAGTAGGTGATGTCTCAGTCTCAGCACTCAGGGTGACTGTGAAAACACTTCGATTAAAATTACTAAGGCAAAAAATTCTTCTTGTGGAGACCAAGCGGGCCGTTTCAGCACTGAATGTGCAATAAGTCGTCAAATCCGAAAAAAATATCATTATGTTTTTTTCACAAATAGGCCAGTTTGCGACGATCCAGGCGTTGTTTAATAGGATGGCGTAGTGGTGTTTAAGAGCTGAGACGGGAAAACGTGCATTCATCGAGGCTCGGGGGTTTCATTGAATTTGCGTCTTCTAGTTCACGTCTTAGGGTCATCCAACAGGAAGAAGATAACTTTTTCGATTTTTCACCGACGCAAAAAACATAAGTTTTACAGAAAATAAATCCATTCGTAATTAATTCAGTCATTTTTCTACTCTTTGTCAACAAATTTTTTAAGCTGATATAGGAAATGCTAAGAGTCATCTTTCTGGCGGATTCACTACCAACTAGCTGCACCGTTATGTCATTGTGTTAGTAGGACCGCGTTGGGCCCTGGATAATGTCATACGTGTGAGACTCACAGATTGGCCGCAGGCTAACGCGGCGCCAGCCACTGCGCCAAACGTCATAACCAGCATGCCGACAGATCATGAATGCATGGGAAAGTGGACAGAGGTGTGATTTCCCTCAGCGATTAAGGGCGTTCTCGTTATGATAACCCTGATGCACAAAATGTGTGGTTTTGTGGACTGGCAAATGATGAATTCACTTACGCCTTCTATGGGATAAGATATCAGGCCATAATGGTGCCGTCTTAATGTGGTACTTATAGCGGCAGTAATGAACATCCGATCCGGATCCGTTGGCGACGAGCGCCGGATGACGGTTTTACGTCATGTCAGCCACTGTGATCAGTCTCTTAATCCGTCGGTTTAACCTAGCTAAGTAAGTGGCACACGAGAAAGCGAAGAGAGTTACTTTGACCCAACTCCGAACGTGAGCTAAAGTTGTTTAATGTAAATGTATGCATTTTCGAAGTCTGGAGGACCACAAACCGAGGGCATAACTAAGTCATCTGGAGTTAGAATCAGATAGCAATAGCTCTTTATCAATGAGGCCCTTACGGCACTAAAACTTTTGTGAGATCCGGGACCCTTCTTCTTGGAAGCCTGGTTACTGTGAGGCGTGCGTTATCCGTAGCAACTTTATCCTGCTGCTACATCACAGTAAGTATACAAATAAAGAATGAGGTAGATGTAGCGCAAGTCTGCGCCACTATAAAGAAATCTACGGGCAAACTCCCACTCAGTGCTTTGCAGGTCATTGAAGATTCGCGCGGTTTGCAACGGATGAGCTACGTTCTATTATTGACTGCTAATTGCTAGGGAACCGTGTGTAGGATCTCCAGAATGGAATTCAAAGGCTAAACGGAACACTCGTGTCCGCTTTGCGATCAGGCATGTTTGATAAACGATACGAAGGTGAAGTATTTAGTAAGCGAACGCGTAACCATCACCCCAGTGTGTCAATAATCACGTGCTTCGTTTAGTATCTTTGCTCTCGAGAGTTAGCCTCACAAATGCTTGCCTTAAAGTGAACTAACAAAGCAGTTCATTACATCTTAACCGCTGTCTCCCGGTAAAACGCAGCTACGGGAAAAACACTGCGTGGATGTTAAGACAGTGCCTACGTTTGATTACCCTTCTGAAGTTGATAAAGGGCTTCGCTGACACAGATTGCCTGTGGGCTTTTAGTGTCCTTAATACTCCTTGACACTATACTTCTGGTCTTAACTGCATATATGACATGGTACAAACGTTATCCTTTAGAGGGGGCGCCATACAAACACATTTTCATTTGCTTGAATCGAGTTGGCCTAGTGAAATTCTCTTCAAAAAATTGTGTGCAATCGCTGAGAAAAAACAAGTTCGAGGATCCGTGACATGAAAAAACTGAAAATACTAATTTGAGAGCGGAAACGTCAAAAGGTTTTATAACAACATTCTGGATGTCCTTCTTACATAAGGACAAAGCATACATTAGCATGACATAAGATATCCCCCAAGATCTCCAGGAGAGAGGTCTTTAAAAGTATTATTCTTGAATGTATGGGAAGTGTTCATGCAGGACTCTCTCGAACATAGTTCTCCCTGTGAAAATTTCTGCATTAAAGCTACCAAGGAATGGAAAGGATGGAACAGAAGGGTTTATAAGATAAAAGCGTTTAAAAACTAGGTATTCAAGAGTCAGAAGAAAAAAATTCTGGTGGTCACATTTGACTCACTGCCTTGTCCTCACTTTGCTGAATTACATACTCCCAATCCTCAGATTCCCATTTCCAACGAGTTGAAGGCAGACAATTCCAGTTTCCTGTGTTTTCTATGGATCCTGATCTTATAGTAGACAGGGGGTCGGAAGAAGATAAGTTTTCCGCGGAAAAGCCTGATGCAGGCTTCCAACGCTAAACCAAGTAAGAGTAGGTAGAAAAACGGAAAAGGAAGGTACTTCATGCTGAGTAATAATTTCCGTCAGACGTATTTCGGTACCATCACTGGGCACAAAAAGATATGGCGACTGATCAGCAGCGATGGCCCATACACACCATGAGCTTGCAGTAAGCCTCTTAATCCGGAGTTGAGGCCCTGCACGCGCCTTTAATTGCCGCCAACCTACACTCCATGAGGACAGAAAAAAGATGTTTCCCTGTTCATCGCAGCTCCACAAATGGTATTCAGGCTGAAGCGTCAAAAAAACATATGTAGGTCACTCACATAACTGTCAGTTAATGCACAGTCTATAAAAATGGGGCAGCATTAAGACGCAGAAGTAATCTGTTCTAGGAAGCCGTAAAATATTACGACAAAGTCAAAGGGAGAGTTAGACACGGCAGCCCTTCATAGGCAGATGAGAATTCGTAAAATTGTGCCGCACATAGCCGACTGCGTCACAATCATTTTGCTTTAAAACTATCACTTGCCTCGCTTTTGAGACGTAGGTAGCTCGCATTTGCACAAATCTATATAAAGTACTACAGGGACATCCGGTAAGTAACAAAGTTGCACAACCGTCGTACTCTCTTGCATTTGCAGATGACGACCCTAGCAGCATTTGATATCGATGCGATGTACGGAAATGGCGAATTTTCAAGATAGTAATCTCTGACGCATCATTGGTTGACCCGCTTAGGTAGTCCGAGCGTTTCCTGGTCGCCGTTCTTTGATTGCGTTACATCTAGACGTGCGTAAATGTCATTATATGGTGTTGACGGCATGACACACGTGACGTGATTGCACTTGAGTTGCATTGCTGTTAACTGCTTTCACATTATATTTTCGTCATAAGTCTGGTGAATTCAAATAGTACATATTGTTTGTGGCTAATGCAGCATAATTTGTTCATCTGGAAGGCACAGAAGAGACCAAGAAGTAGCGGCCACTATAATCAAGTGAATAATAGAACTGCTCAAAAGTTGCGAGTGGGCTCTGAGATACAACACAGCACATTCTCAATTGCGGGATCTTCTGGGTATCTTTGGACCTACTGTGTCTGAACTGCCGGTCGACCAAAGAACGCTTTTGGGAGCTTCGTACAGCTTGTAGGTAACCTCCATGGTGCAAACTGCCCTCACAGCAGATAATGTGGTTGTAAACTTGGCTATTTACGGCCTCCCTGTTTATAGAAAATCGAGGACCGAAATATGGCCTATTTTCGGAAGAGCGATGCAGTCCCTTGTCAGTGACCTTTTTTTCCTGTGCGAAAGAGGAAAGCCGTCGGATGTGTACGCTATCTGTAAAGCAGGTGTAAATAAGATAAAAGTAGTGCAGGGGCATGGATTCTGGTTGAGGCAAGTCAATTGGTCAATTGACGTCCATGTTGCAGCAGACATCTGCGATGCCCTCGCTAGGGCCTTTGTTAAGCCAATCAGGAACGTCAATGCATATCACGGCTCAGAACGTTGTACAGTGCCACGAGTATATAAAGTAAACGTAGTCTGCATATGCGAAGGACAAAGTAAGAGGGAGGATAAGGACGTTATGTAGTCATTAGATGCTCCTAAACAAGAAGGACAATTACCGAGTTAGATGGAAACCAGTCAGAGGCAAGAAGTGATTGGAAGTATTTTGAATACTTTTGCTAATAACATCAAAGTTTTTGTACGTCCAACTTTCTAACAGGACATCCATTTTTATCATATTGGCGATACTAGTTCGATGGATATCGTAGTATAATAGTATAATTTATAATATATCTATAATTTACGAGTGTCACGGTAAAACATGTCTAATGAATAACAAAAGTGCCCAGGCGTAACCTGGAAAATAAAGAACATGAACAGTCCAAAATAAAGTCAACAAAAGAAATCCATTGAATCATAATTTAGCAAATTCTGTCGAGGATAAATGTCTCAGTACAAACATGCACAACGAAAAAAGGAATATTTGAAAAATAGCGGATGACGCCAACGGGACTGCTTAAAGAATGTGGACGAAACCATGGTATAACCATATAGAAAACTACAAATATCAAGGATGAGGGTTGAGATAGTCCCTCCTACAGCGAGGAGGCCCGTGGTGAGGAGTAAGCGAGCTATTTTCTTTTTCGGTCTCTATTTCAGCCTAGTAAAAGTCAGTTTAGTCAAGGTTACGCAAAGGTGTCGGTAAATGGGCGAGCAGGTGGACGTTCTTAAATGTCATATGAACCAGAATGCAAGTTTGTAAAAGCAATTCCGAGGTTTAAAGCCTGGAAAGGCAGTTTAAATTCTCCGTATGGACTTACGGTAGGATGCGGATGTCCAATCCAAAGCTTGGAATTAGCCAGCCATTCGGCAAAAGATAAGACTATTTGCAAGATAGAATAAACAAATTCCGAAAATCTCTCTCCTTTTTTCGGAAATCATTCTAACTTCAGGCTTGAGTGATTCACTGTATTATTCAGCAGATATGAGGAGAACGAGATTTAAGGATAAAACAGCTATTAGGCAGTGTACAACCAGAGCAAGATAGGGGTCGGAAGACGATGAGCAGGGAAGCTGAGCACATAGTGAAGCCACATGCTATCCTTGCTGGTGCAAATGCTTCTCAAGTACTGTTAGTCGTGAAATCAAACAAAATCGCCTGCCCACGAGTGAAATATTAATTATATGCTACGGTCCTGATGGCGGTGTGGCGGCTAAGCGGTTATGGTGTATGCTCAGGCCACAACCTCAGGCCATATCCCAAGTTGTAAGAGGCGGGACGCCAGTTGGATAGAAAATTTTATTCTGAATAGAACAACAGAGAAATGTGGCAACCGGGCGAGGGTGCGTCCCGCGCCGCGGAAGGCGGCATCCGCGAAAGCGGGCCGTGTGTCACCGAAAGTCGCCGCTACAGAAGTGTTGTGGCAGATTTTTTACGCCAGTGGTCTGAACTGTGTCCGCCTGTGGTAAATCAATCAGCAAGAGGAGTTGCGTTGATTGACTCAGAGCCCACGAGAGGGTAATGACAAGCCTCGCATGGTGCAGGCAGAGCATCGGCCAGATGCATGGGACGCACAGTGAATTGCAACGAGGCAAATCGAAGCAGGGAAGACGTTAGTACCATAGCAGGCTATTGCTAGGGTGTGGGTGCAGGCGCTAGCGAGAGGCGTGGCGTTACCATTATGGCTGCCTTCAACAGCGGAAATAACTGACTGCAAAACTATAGGACGATTGCCATCTTATATTATGCTTTACATAGTATTTTAGGCTCTCTCAACTCTTACATAATTAAGCCTCTTATCATGCAATCTAGGAATGGGAAGATTCCCTACAGCAAATATTGACATGCATGTATGGCATGCAGCGGAAAAATTTTTGGTGGAATTTATGCACTTGCCCGAAGTTTGAACAGCTCTTAGGCGTGTCCTCGAAGACAGCCGTCATGGCTACGTTGGGCAAACCCACTATACCTACATGATCCGTTCAGCTAACTGTTTAGTTTGTTTCAAATTTTGCACATTACTGCCTCTGCTGTGGAATATCATGATAAGGTATATTCGGTCCCTGAAACGAGCTGAATAGTAGAACAGAGCACACAAGCATAACTGCTTGTTGTTTAACTCCCCTCCAAAACCTCTCCATGATGCATAATGCATTAAGGATTTTTTTATGAAGATTTGATATTGCATTACCGAACAAACTTAAGATTACCATCCTAAGACTTATTTTCGCTGAGATTGTTGAATCGGGTAAGACAACATCGAGACATTTACATAACACCAAAAGGCTTTGTATTCGGAGCTTTTCTGACAGACATGACAATGAGAAATCTAATATAAGCGGTGCCCTTTAAGATAACTTGTTAGGTTTTCTTGCGGGAATACAATGTCAAAACTCTTTTAAAAAATACCTATTCTCCGTTCACCTCTCTTACGGGAATGGTGGTAGGACGGGTTATACAGGTAGAACCTCTAAAGCGAGCCGAACCGCAAGAAATATAATGCACGAAAACTAAAAGCTTACATTTACGCCAAAAGCTGTTTAATGAGTCAAAAAACACCTCATAAATGATCTTGAAACTGAGAACGCAGCCTTCGGGAAGGCAGAAAGTAACCTAGCACACCACGCTCTCACGCTATTGGCCGGGTTTGATCATAAGCCGTATTGACCTCTGGACCGACAAATCAGCAGGTGCGAGTGCGTTTGCCATTAGCTCCTTGCAGGGGAAGTTCAGAACGGAGCTTTCGTTGCTTTCGCAAAGGGGGCAACATAACGGAGGTACAGAATGTTGGGCTATGTTGATGGTCAAAAAATATCTTAATTCCATGCGCCCTACGTCTACGACCACTATGGCGAAAGGCCGACCAAGGGAAGGGAACAGCAGATGGAGTAATGCAATTCCGCTAACTATGGTATGACCAAACAGTTGCTAAGGAAGTGTTGTAGATTTATGCTTCATTTTGAGGCCTACCCAACCCAAAGTAAGGGCTAGTGGAAATGGTGTAGAGCATTCAGTTGGAAAACATGATCACGCCCACTTGTAAACTGTTATCCACACTGATTCGCCAAGTAACCCATTGATTAAGTAGGAAAATGATTGGGAAAGTAGTTGGTAGAACACATGTAATAACGGTAGGCTATGTCAGTCGAAAAAAACCTGCTGACGGTACGGCTGCTATACGATTTGATTTAACAACAATACCACACATTTACGAATGTACGAAAATGATCTCCCCCACCCTGGACCGCGTGGCATACCAATTAGATTGCCTAGACAGCTCACTGACATGATAGACTACTTTTCCGAAATGTAAGGATTTGATCTCTCTAAATGTGACATGCATAAGTTCCTAAAATCTGTACTACAGTATAAAAATCACAAGAAAATGTTTAAGTTGACGAATTTTTGACATTTCTTAATAGCATCTTCCATGCCGTTCTCGGCCTACATGATTAACCGTTTCATTATCATGAACGTTGTTAAGTTATCTCGAGGACATTTTTATAGGTGTGAAGGTGTGCGCGTGGGCTATTAACCCTAAACTGTATTAGCTGTAGTTACGGGAGGAAGAAGTTTATTGGCCTGACATCTCAGACTCCCACTCCAACACATCTGCGACCGTGTCTGCTGACGAGTTTTATTGAGAAGCCGAGAAGTCACACCAATAAGCTTCGTATTCTGGTGGTCACAGGAGCTAAAATGTACAGTAAATGGGCCAACTCATTCAATGTTCACAGAAATTCCGAAATGAGTTTTCAATCCCAGTAGATTACGTAGTAGGGTCGTAATATTGATTACAGCTCAGGTCAATCCCACAATATATTAGTTACTTCAGGAGGCAGTCTTTTGAACAGACTCCTTTCGGGACGCCAGCTAGAACTACACTCTGTAAAAATGCATAGTAAAGTAGTATAACTTTTTCTCATTTATTTTCAGTGCCTTTATTAAGTGAAATATATTTTTTATAATATATGCATAAGACCATTGATTATCTTACCCATTGGACAGAAACTTACGCCTTCTTCGAATTTTAAACCCTGGAGGAGAGATACACATCAGTTTTAGGAAACTTTCCTGTCATGAATAATATTGATCCCGACCTGCCGATACATTAGCAGTCAGAGTTCGCAAACTACAAGCTGTCTATTTTTCGTGTACGAAGAATCATATATTTCTACAAGTTAGTAAGGGAACGATGTGCAGGGTTTGTAAAATTTAGCATTGGATTTGAGCTATATCGTAACCTTTTTAAGCCACAAAACTTAAGGCCGAGGCAGGATGTTTTATGAGTGTGCATATCTTGATCTTTAAAAATCTGATAAGCACAGACTTGCTTTACATTGAAATATGCCCTTCCTTCATGTATATAATTTGCAGAAGAAGACGTAATTTTCTCCCAAATAAGTAAGAGAACGAGTATGTTTATGTATTTTGTCTGTCAAATACGTTTAAATTTATGAAGGCATCGAAAATCAGTGATAAAAATTAGGTATGATACCAATGTCGCAATTTGTATCATACTGTCCTTTCAAAGGAGTAGCGGGGTCAGGTTGACGTACACGCTCCATGCCGTCTCCGTTTCTCTAACCGTCGTCATCAGGAATCCACTCCGGCTTTTGAGATTGCAAGCTCTCAGCCCCGATCGGTGATTTTC